TTCAAGGATCATTTACAAAAATTTGCACGATTCCTCTGGTCATAGATATGGCCCTCAGATCTTGCTTCCCAGAAGTTTGGGGTAGCCTCAATATAAGTATTACTTGTGCATCAACTGTTATGGATAATTATGAGATGGGATCTTTCTCAATGTCTTGCACATTTGGAGAGTACAACCACAAACAACATTCTTGACTAGGCTGCTTTAAGTGTTCGATTGCACGTTGATGACGATTAATTTGTACATACATGCGTAAATATAGTAGTAGCATATTAATGAAAACACAAACGCTTCGTTTGAATTAGCTATTTTTGGAATGTTTTTGAAATATTTTACTGTAACAGTCTATTTTACTTTAAGTGTCCAAACTTTTGCTTTGCATATCCGAAAGTATAACAAGCACGAAAGGCAAAAACATAAAGTAAAATGCAAGGTGAAGTCTAGAGAGAGTAAATTATCAAATTTTTATGCAATTACCCAGAGAGCTCCTTAATGGTGGTAGGAACCAATGATAAAAACTGTATTATGAAGTCTGAAATGCAACAAGTAGTATCATAGGTTGTCTTTAAGACCCAATCTAACTTATAAGACCGCTAGCAAGGTAATGGTAAAATTTTTAATTTGACTCTTAAATCCTTTTTTTTTCCCTCTGTCCCTTTATAAGACTAACAAAGAGGTACTATCAAATTAGAGGACGGTGATTCTGTCGAGATGATTGTCTCGAAATGATTATCCAAAGGTTTTAAAGTTCAAACCTTACGACGGAGGAGGAAAAAGAATAGTTTAAACTTTGAAAATCAAGTGAAAGAGTTCAGCCTAATTACTTTGGTGGAAGATATTGCTCAGTTAAGAGGGTTGTTTCATATGTGCTCTTTTTGTCTAGTTAAAAATGATAAGTATCACTTAAACTCTAAGATTAGCAACGATGCCTTGGGCATCACTTTAGACGAGGAACTCTTGTTTTCTCAATGTCAAGAACACTGAATGTAAAGTTAACTCGAGACTTTGCTCGCAATTGTATATCTTTTGAAAGCAATATAACAACTATCGTTTCGGGGAAAAAAAAAAAAAAACTAGTGGGCTTATCAATTTAGCTGGGTCTGGTCATTCCTTCTCTCTGCCTGAGTCTGGCCTTATTCCATCTGATTACACGGACAAGTTACGGATCAAAAGGTCCAACCCAGTAAAGAGTGCTGTGACATTAGACATAAAAAATTGACATTATCCGCACTTTTATATAAGAATTTTAAACTTTTGCAGACGACTCCCACTTTTATGTCTTGTACCCTCAGAACATGATGCAGACGAGACGAGCCTTAATTAAGATTTGGGAGAATAGGATATAGCAACAATTGAGAATGTTTGAGGCTAATCTTCTGTTAGTATAAAACATGAAAGGGTTTGAGCAGTTCAAACATTACTCTCATATAATAAGTTAAGACACATAAAACTCATCAGCATTTTGGATCCAAATCTTCTATGAACTGAGTTGGGTTCCTTCCGAATAACAACATAAAAGATTCTCGCATGGAGTAAAAGTTTTCCACATTCATCTTTTCCCCCTAATTTTTTGTAAAGCTTAACTAGAAGGGTATTAGGTTGAGATTTATAATGTTATGTGCAAATAAAATTGAGTAACTAGTCAACTAATCTAATCATTAAACTAAGTTTAAGTGCAATTTTATCTGAATAACAAAATAAGAATAAATTTGGACGCTCCTAAGTAACTCCATCAACTCGCCTGGACTGTCATTTTTTTTTTTTAAAAAGAGTTTTGTAAGAAATTGCATTGTAATGATTTAATACATGTGAAATAAAACAAGACTGAAAAAATGATTCCATGAAAACGTAAAAATCTTTTAAGGAAAAATGCCAATCCAAAACAAGATTAATTGTTAGCTTTCCCAATTCCAATTTCGTTGCACTAAAAGGGGAAAAAACTGTCCTCATCACTAGCGAGTAGATAGTACTACTCGGTTGAGGCGGTTTGATTCGTTAACGAATCGAGTGTATGATACTCCATCATTGATGACGTGACAACTAACCCCAGACTCATCATCTCCAGATAGGTTTCCTCGTAATTAAACCTCCAGACAGATTTCCGGCTGACCCCTTTCTCTCCCAGTGGCGTATTCGACCAAGAGAACTGAACAGATGCTAAAACCCAAACCCTAAATCCTAAATGGATCAAATTCCCAATCTTCCTCAACTCGATCCATCCAAATTCTCTCAAAATAGTCCTTGATCATGAACTCCTAAAGAAACCCAGAATTCTTGCCATTAATTTCCGTGTCACCGGCTGAACATTCGCAGTCGGTCATCGCCACGATGACCAATTACACCGTCCCATCACTTCCACCGTCCGCCTCCTGGGGCGACGGAGACTTTGATTACGATACGGCATGGTACGGGAACATCCAATACTTAGTTAACATTTCCGCCATCGGAGCCTTAACGTGTCTCCTCATCTTCATCTTAATTAAGCTCCGAAGCGACCACCGCCGCATGCCCGGCCCCACCGCCATCGTTTCTAAGCTCCTCGCCGCCTGGCACGCCACCGGCCGAGAGATCGCCCGCCACTGTGGCGCTGATGCAGCTCAATTTCTCCTTATTGAAGGTGGCAGCTCTGCCCTACTCCTTTCCCTCGCTGTGCTGGCCATCTCCGTCATGCTTCCAATCAATATTTACGCTGGAAAGGCTTCTTTGGGAGACGAATTCTCGAAAACCACCATTAATCATATCGAAAAAGGTTCGCCTTTGCTCTGGGTTCACCTTATTTTTGTTGTAATTGTTGTTTTTTTGGTGCATTATGGTGTGAATGAGATTGAAAAAAGATTGAAAGTCACGAGGTTGCGAGATGGGCATGGTAATCCTAGTGACCCTGGTGCAAATTCGAGTGCAATATTTACTATAATGATACATGGGTTGCCAACAACTTTGGGCTTTGATAAGACCCCATTGGTGGAATACTTTCAGCATAAGTATCCAGGGAAGGTGTATGAAGTTATTGTTCCGATGGATTTGTGTGCATTAGATGATTTAGCTTCGGACTTAGTGAAGGTTAGGGATGATATTTCAAAGTTGGTGGCAAGGATCGAGTCAAGAGGATTTCTGGATGAGGTAGAGGAATATGAGGATGCAGGGAATGGAAGGGGATTGTGGGAGAAGATATGTTTGTTGTGGAGGAGAGTGGTAGATTTGTGGTATCGGGCTATGGGCGCTCTGGGGTTTTCTGATGAGGAGAGATTGAGAAAGTTGCAAGAGTTTAGGGCAGATTTGGAAATGGAGATGGCAGCTTATAAAGATGGCCGAGCAAGGGGTGCTGGTGTTGCTTTTGTGGTGTTTAAAGATGTCTATGCAGCTAATAAGGCAGTTCAGGATCTTCGAAATGAAAAGAGAAGACGGTTTGGAAGATTCTTTTCCATTACAGAGTTACAACTTCAAAGGAACCAGTGGAAGGTAGAGAGAGCTCCACTGGCAAGTGATATTTATTGGAATAACTTGGGTTCATCAAAACTGTCTCTAAGATTGCGTAGAGTGATTGTGAACACATGCCTTTTATTGCTACTTCTGTTCTGCAGTTCTCCACTTGCTATACTTAGTGGCATTAGCAGCGCAGCACGGATTATTAATGCAGAAGCTGTGGATCATGCTGAGACTTGGCTGGCTTGGGTGCAGAGTTCAAGCTGGCTTGCATCCTTAATCTTCCAGTTTCTGCCCAATGTACTTATTTTTGTCAGCATGTATATTGTGATCCCATCTGTTCTTTCTTATCTTTCCAAATTTGAGCGGCATTTGACCGTGTCTGGGGAGCAAAGAGCTGCGCTCTTGAAGATGGTTTGCTTTTTCTTGGTAAACCTCATTCTTCTAAGGGGTCTAGTTGAGTCATCACTGGAGAGCGCTATTTTGAAGATGGGACGATGTTACTTGGATGGGGAAGATTGCAAAAGGATTGAACAATATATGAGTGCCTCTTTTCTTTCAAGATCTTGCCTTTCATCACTTGCATTTCTTATTACAAGCACTTTCTTGGGAATATCCTTTGATTTACTGGCTCCAGTACCTTCAATTAAGAAGATGCTCCGGAAGTTCAGAAAGAATGATATGCTCCAGCTGGTTCCGGAGCAAAGTGAACTGGAAAATCATGACATTGAAAGTTTGGAGAGGCCTCTGATTTCTGAAGCTGCAGCTGGGGTAATGACAAGCAATAATGGATATTTACAACATTCTGCTTTGAACGGTGTTAATTCACCAGGTCAAGACATGTCTGAATACCCTCCTGTTAGCAGAACCTCACCCATGCCTAAGCGAACTTTTGATTTTGCACAATACTATGCGTTCAACCTCACAATATTTGCCCTGACCCTCATATATTCCTCCTTTGCTCCCCTTGTGGTTCCGGTGGGAGCTATATATTTTGGTTACAGATATGTGGTAGACAAGTACAACTTCCTATTTGTCTACAGGGTGCGAGGTTTTCCGGCTGGTAATGATGGGAGGTTGATGGATACTGTTTTGTTTGTAATGCGGTTTTGTGTTGATTTGTTTCTTCTCTCGATGCTACTCTTCTTCTCAGTTCACGGGGATTCCACAAAGCTGCAGGCCATATTCACTCTCGGGTTGTTAGTAATGTATAAGCTTTTACCCTCTGATAATGAAGGTGTACAGCCAGCCTTATTGCAAGGCATACAGACTGTTGACAACATCATTGATGGTCCCATAGATTATGAAGTTTTGTCGAAGCCTACTTTTGAATGGGATACTTATAACTCATAACACCAGTTGTTAATATAATTTTTTGGCATTAAGCTGATATTGGTCGTGGTATATCTGTAGATACATTTCTCTGTTCATGATCTGCTTCCATGCGTGTTGTGTAATATGGCCGATGTTTGATGTGGTATACCTTCATATGTTTTTATTTCTGGACAAAATATCACACCTAAGCACTGGTTTTTTGAAAGGTAAAGCCTTTTAATCTGATCTGACATGGTGGGTAACAGCATTTAGATCGTGGGTTTAGGAGGAGATTCTTTTAAATTATGTCTCTAAAGATGGATTCACTCTTATGGTGGTTTACGAGTGACCATTGGTGCTTTTGATATTGCTAAATGGTAGAAGTTTTTTTGGTAACGCGATTTTACTTTGAAAGGTAGATTGAACAAGTGCTGGTGGAGTGCAGGTGTAAAACAAAGCAAAAGCGAGACAGAGGCCAAAGCTACCATTGTAGGTTCATGTTAATTTTTGTTGCTTTCGTCTGGAAGATATGGAGAGCATGAGGAATTATTATTCGAGAGGTTGCCTGGAGGAACTAGGGAGTTCATTAGAACTAGTTGTTGAGATGTAGGAAACAGTTAGTCAAGAACGAAAATTCCAAAGGGATAGCTTGATCACTTCGGATTATAAAGAATTTTTTTATTCCTTCTGTCATTATCTCAGTCTTCTGCATGAAGAGAACAATTACTGGCAATATTGGTACCCCAGTATATTTCGATTCTGCGATCCTCAAAACTGAAAAATAATCGGAAAACATGAGATCAGATAGTCATTCTACAGAGCAACAGATTACTCGCAAAGTTTGCTTTGCACGCTAACATCACCTGTAAAACAGGCACTTCGAATATTGTCCTACGCGAGTCAAGCTTAGAAAATGACACCTAATCGTCGGAGTTGTAGAAGAAAACTTCAATCATGGATTGCGCGGACTAAATCAATTTTAGGCCAGACAAGAAATGCAGAAAAAAGAGGAGCACAAAAGCCCAACCCTACATCTATTCTCGGCCAAGCAAAGCATTTTCTCCCTTTCCAGAAATAACATCTGCCGTCCCAACTCCCACTGTGACTGCGCTGCGCTGAATCACTCATCCCACTAGCATTTCTCTCACTCTGATGATAAACATGTGGTTAATCTTTAAATTGTTAAACTTGTGTCCTCTTCTTCTCGGCTTCAACGAGTTATAAATAATTAAGAAGAGTTATAAAAGCGGTCTATTATCACTTGTGACGCTGATTTGATTTTCCTCATTTTGTAAGGGACGCAGATGCATCACTTATCAGTTAAAAGCAATGTTGTTGATACAGGAGCCGAGACCAGGCTTGGGTACGGATGCAACAATCCTCCCCTCTGTCCAAAGCCTCGCCGGCTTGGATCTTCTGTTCCTGAATTTCTCAGGACCTTAGGATGCAACAGTCACAGGTTAGTTAGAACTGATCAGAGCTTTTCTTAGTTGACAACTTGACATTGCACTTATTCTTGTTTTCTTGTTTTTAATCTGCATTCTGCAATATCAGTCAAATAAATTCTGATGGCAGAAGTGGAACTCTCAGCATGATTACAACCGAAAAGGTATGTTTGTTAATGTCCTCAATGACAATATTCATGCCTTTATATGCATACTTCCTCTAATAGCTTCTTGACATTATCAATGCTGTAAATTGCAGACAAGGGATGAGGGAGAATCTTTGTGCAGTAATGGATGCTCACTTTCCTTCTACTCGGGATCTCCTCCGGGCAGAACCAGTAACCCTTTGGTTCATGATGTACAGTTCGTTCATCAGATGGAGCATTATTCTCCATTAACCAGAACAAAACTGCCTGATCGATTCGGTTTCACCTCTGCCTCTCCAGCATGAGAGCCTGAAATTTTTGGTAGATGACATCAGACAAGGAAAATGAGTTCTTTTCGGTTGAGACAGCCCGTTTTGAGGGTTCTTTTTGTAGTATTGGCTTAGAGTTAGCGTGGACTGTCAAAATTGTGAGCTTTCCTATGTAAATATATGCGATAGCTGATGAGGGTGAAATGTATTCTTATTCGAAGTATATATACTATTACTAAGGGGCATTTTACTGCTCAGGTAAGTTGATTCGGTTGTATGTAAAGCACGTGGCAATTATTTTTATTTTTAGTTCCTTTTCGTGATTACATCCCATTTGTCCATCAAACAATGCAGATCAAATATCTTGAATGTTGTTTGGTACGTGCTAGCATTTGAGGCATCTGGAGTAAAGCCAAAGTGGCCTGATTTTTGTAAAGCTAATTGTGTCGCGGAAATTTAACTCCATCTTTATCTGGCAGCGAAAAGAAAAAGCAACGAATGGGAAGAACTTAAGCCAGTTTTCTTGCAAAGAGCAAAATGCAGCAACAGCCCCTACTCGATCCGCACAATAATTCTAGCTAGTTGCTTACCATGCTTTGTTCAGAGATAACAACTAGACCTGTAGGTATGAGTACTTGGACGGACCTCACAAAACCTCTCAAGGTATTTATTATTCAAGTGTTAGGTAGCAGAAATCCTCATAGATAAATTATGTCAAAAAAAAAAATCACCCGATAAATTCTATTAGTAGCAAATTTGTCACATGGGGGAGCATGTTTACTTTCTATGCAGCCATACATGGACTTTTGTCTTAATCCCCCACCCAAAAAAGAAAAAGAAAAGGATTTGTAGAATGTTGAGGCTGTCACAGGGATAGCTTGTGTATACTATTCAGAAGTAACCATTTACCATTTGTCATATTGAAAATAACCACAATCCAATCCATACCCCCCGGGGAACCACAATGCAAAAAAATTCAAGAAGAGAACAAAGAAAGCCCAGTACCAAAAAAGGGAAAAAATCCCGGTACGAAGGAAAAAGAGAAAAGTGATTTGCTAGTTGGGCTGAGGATCTCACCGCATTAAAGACTTGTGCTTGAAGCCAATTTCCCTCCAACACCATCTTCCTTAACTGTGAAAAAGTAAAACGCCCCATGAACCCCTACCAAACTACCACCCCTTCCTCTTCCTCTTCCTCTTTTCCCATTTAATGCACTCGCTGCACCTCTTCTCTTCTGTCTCTGTACCTAACCCTTTTCTTGTCGTCAGCAAAACAATAATTCCCCGATCCATTATTGTTCAAGTTTTAACTTCCATTCATCCTATGCAAATCTTTATCAAAACTCACCAAGAAAAATGTCATCTTTCTTCATTTTCTTGCTCACATTGCTTTGTTTTTGGCTACTTCTTCAATGCTCAAATGCCCACATTTTCACTCTGGAAATGCACCACCGATTCTCTGAACCCATCAAGAAATGGTCCCAGAAAACTGGCAAGAACTTCATGGTCCAAAGCTGGCCTACTAAGGGCAGTGTAGAGTACTATCAACAGCTGGCTAACCATGACAGGCTACTAAGGGGCCGGCGTTTATCAGAATCTGATGGACTTCTCACTTTTTCTGACGGCAACTCAACTTTTCGGATCAGCTCTTTAGGATTGTAATAAAGATCAATTTTTTTTTAATTTATTGGGATTGTAGTGTTTTCTTTTCTTCCCTTTCTTTGGATTCTCGATTTTTTAATTGCTCTCCTTTTCATGGGTTTTTGTTTATTTTCCTTTTCCTTCTCGTGTTGTTTTGGGCAGTTTGCATTATACTACAGTGACAGTAGGGACACCTGGCATGAAGTTTATGGTGGCGTTGGATACTGGGAGTGACTTATTTTGGGTGCCTTGTGAATGTGGGAGATGTGCATCTATTGCTGATCCACTTCATAGCCCAGTAAGTATTATCTTTTCTTGTTAATTTTGTCTCCTACTACTTATTTAGTTCTTTTATCAATACTTAATAGGGTGTTTCTTTTAATTCTGCTGACAATGACAAGCTTGGAAATGGTAAAGTTTTAAGAAAGGGAAAGGAATCAGTGGTTATATGGCAAAAATTATTGGAGGAAAGAATGCAATAAGTACTCGTGACGATGGACTAAATTGGAATGTGAAGTAGGCTGTGGATCTCTAGTATTAATTGTAACCGAAATTCACCCATGTAATCATGTTCTTGTGTAGGTGTTGATAACGCCGTTAGCTTTAATCTTCTGCACAATGTTGCAGCTCTGTATGTATATGGGCAGGCATGTTATCCATCTCTACAATGTTGATGGTCCATTTCCTGTTGGAGTCTTAACTTAGCTCTCTTGCTGTACTAAGAGCATGAGGTTTATGGAGATCTAGGTCTTTGAATCTGTTTTCTTTTATCTCATGTTCTTTTGACAAGAAGGAATTTTTACTTCCTACAGATATACATTAATATGGTAAGGCAAAAGATGCGTTCCCAAATGAAGCAAAAATAACTCTTTGAATAAATTCAATGCGGAATCTCCGACATTAACGTGAGCTGCACCATTTGGCATGGATGCTGCTTTCTGATTAGAAATTTCTTTATCCTCAACCCTCACCCCTCCTCATTGCTAGTCGTCAGCATTATTACAAAATTCCATTCTTGATTGTTAAAATCAGCATGCAGTCATTGATTTCTGTTAACGTCTTGCATAGATATTGCTAACTCATCAAACGACTTCTGATTATCTTCAACTAGCTTAGTTCCTTGCTGCAGGATTTTGAGCTTAGCATATACAACCTAAATGGGTCATTAACAAGCAAGACAGTTACTTGCAACAACCATTTTTGCTCACACCAGGCTGATTGTCTTGATACTTCTAGTCGTTGCCCTTACTCTGTATCCTATGTCTCATCTGAAACTTCAACTTCTGGAATACTAGTGGAGGACATTATACACTTGAAAAGTGAAGATGACCATGAAGGACATGTTCAGGCATACATAATTTTTGGGTAAGTTTCTAGATTTTGGTGGGAATTAATCGCTAATACAATACGACATTACCTTTTTCCACCTCTTAGTTTATAATTCAAAACTTATTTACAGATGAGAGTGCTTTTTAATTCAAGTCCTTGTACTTTGATCTGTAAGCTCCATATCTGTCCATGCCATGCATCTCAGCAGTTGCAGTTTGACTCAAACTTAATTTTCTTTTTGGTGAGAGTGTTGCTACAATTCTCAAACTAAAATATTTTAGAACTTCTTGTTACTTAGTTTCATCATGGCATGCAAGGTGAACATTTCCCTTTTGTTGCTTATGATTTCAAACACATACTGAGAATATCTATAAATTCACTGCAGTTGTGGACAGGTTCAAACTGGATCTTTTCTAGATGTGGCAGCTCCAAATGGTCTGTTTGGGCTTGGCTTGGAGAAGATATCAGTTCCTAGCATTTTATCGCAAAAAGGTTATACAGCTGATTCTTTCTCTATGTGTTTTGGCCATGATGGCACTGGAAGGATCAACTTTGGAGATAAGGGAAGCCTTGATCAGGAAGAGACTCCATTCAACGTGAATCCCTTACAGTAAGTGGTAATTTTCATTCTTTTCGGATATTTTCTCCTTTCTTTTGCCTTTGCAATCTTAATCGCTTAAAAAATCTTTGTCTTTTTGCCTGAAACTGCTTCACAGCCCAACTTACAATATCAGCGTTGTCCAAATTCGTGTGGGAACTGCTCTCATTGATTCAGAATTTACAGCTCTTTTTGATTCTGGAACCTCTTTCACGTATCTTGTTGACCCTGCCTATTCAATGATTTTGGAAAACGTAAGATCTCAAATCATAGAACCACTAAGTCTTATTTTTTATGTCAAGAATACGGCTCATGTATACTTTTTGTTTTTCAGTTCCATTTACAAGCACGAGATAAGCGCCACCTACCTGATGCAAGGATCCCATTTGAGTATTGTTATGATATGAGGTCATGATCAAATTTATAGCTGGTCTTTTTTGGTCAATTTTCTTTTCACTTTCTAGCAGCATAATCATATCTATTGTTTGTTTGTTTTTTCTGCACTATGATGAACAGTCCTGACGCAAACACTAGTTTGATTCCTACTATTAGCTTAACTCTTAAAGGTGGTGGTCAGTATGTTGTGTATGATCCAATCATTGTCATCTCCACTCAGGTAGGATCACAAATCTATTGCTTCTCCTAATTATTAAATCTAACTTTTCTTAACCATCCAGTTATATTGACTTCTGTTTTGCTTGCGTTTTGCAGCATCAACTTATATATTGCCTTGCTGTTGTCAAGAGTCAAGACTTCAATATAATTGGACGTGAGTGGTAATCTATGTCTTTTGGAAGTTTCGAAAATTTCTATTCCCATCATTTGAGTTTCTCAGTTTTAACATCAAATGATGGCATGGAAAAATCGGTTCGACTAGTTTCATGCATATTTGGAGAGGTTAGATATTTCTTACAAGACTTGTCTGTTAAAAAGTTGAGTGCCAGGGTGAAACTCATGACCCTGGACACCTGTTGCATATTGTTCATTTGCTTTCTCGCTGGAACCAGAAGATATTATGTATCTTTGATTCAGAGAATGCTCATTTTGTACAAATTTGAATTAGTTGTGGAGAGACAAATTGTTGAGATAATATTGCAAGTCTTCAAATGTTAGTGGCTGGGGGAGGAAGAATGAAGTTATTCATGACAGTTAAATCTTAACATTGCTTTTTCCAATTATATAGCTGTTCCTTTGTAATCTTGAATTGTAAAAGGCAGCTTCTATTGTGTTCTATGAGCAAATTTTTTTTTTTTTCATGTTATAATCTATGGCGTGATATGCTGCATTTACTTGTATTTCCGTGCAGAAAACTTTATGACTGGCTACCGTGTAGTCTTCGACCGAGAAAAACTTGTGCTGGGATGGAAGAAGTTTGACTGTGAGTCCCTTGCTACAGATGAGATTTCAGTTCGCAACTGCACAAATGCTTTTGTTCATTTGTTAAAAAATAACAACGGTAAATTTTTATTTTTATTTTTAAAAACAATGCTTTGTTCATTCGTAGAATAAGTCTATGGTCCTCATGCAGGTTATGATGATGTTGAGGAATCAACTGCATCCATACCAAGAAACTCAAGCAGTGTGCCGCCAGCTGTTGCTGCTGGTGTAGGAACTAAATCCACGCCAAGCTCAGAAGAAAATAGGAGGAGCAAACCTCAGACTTCTTTTGCATCATCCCCTGATCACTGCTTCCATCTGATCTACCTGCACCTCCAACTTTTGTTCCTGCTGACTCTAGTATAGCAGATGCTGCTCGATCCTCACTTCCCTTCTCCAGAGGAGGAGCCTAACTTCATCCGACTATTGAGACAGTGTTAGTGTGTTTAGTACAAGAGCCTTTGACAAAGCATCTTTGCTGTCTGCTTCCATGGATTATCAAACCATGGCTGCAGTAGATACAGAGCGAAGATAGAATGTAAATACAGCGAAGATAGATTGATGATGCCATTTTTTGGTTGCTTCCTTTGCCGGTGTTTCTTTAAGCTATTCTTTCAGTAGAATAGAAGGCCAGTCGTTTGTTTTTGTACAGTGTTGGTGGATTCAAATAACGGAGAATTATCATTCATTTGTGTTCCATGTGTATGAACGGCTTGCCCTCTCTCTTTCTGCCTCTTTTTTTTTTTTTTTTTTTTTTTTTTTTTGGGTTTTAAACGTGAATATGCTATTGGGCTTGGAAGTGGCTGTCCTTGAGGCTTTCATGACGATTCTGGTCGGTCTGGGTTTTGAATTGGGTTGAGGCTGGAGGAGCCATACGTAAGGCCGTCTACAACTCTCTTTCACTTTCGCTGCTTTGGGCAGGGCCTGGAGAAGTAAGTAGGTAGGGAAGTAGGAGTCAAAGATTAACCTCACAGACTTATTTGATGTGGTTTGGACTTAGTCGGTACCAAACTTTGGACTGCTGCCAACTCCCATCTGTCTCTGTCTCTGTCTCTGTGGCTTATTTGGGTTGGTCGGTGAGTTGGACTCTTTAGTTTGTGGGATACGTCACGTTTTTGGAGAAATTGGAAGTAAAACTTCTACGCGTATATCTTTCTTTCATTCTTTCTCTTCATCTACAATAAATATTTCTCAACGCAAAAAAGAGAAAATCCCAATGTATCATGTCAAATGACTCCCAACATTTCACCTTAATAACGTCACGGAAAGAAAGAAACAAAGAGGGATTTTGGCAGAAAAAAAGAGGGATCGATCCACGTACAAAACGACGGTCAATCTATCCATCTCTTCACAGTAATGGAAGATATGCTAATGGAAACGGTTAGAGTCAAAAGTTTGCAAGAGAACCTGGCACTCCAATTCTGACAACTAATTCCCCTGGGGAATTTTTTGACAGCAATGTTACGCGTTTCTTCTGGTTCGTCTTGCCCCTAACTAATGCTAGACTTTGTTCGTTTGGACCGTGAAATTATCCCAAATAATATTTTACTTGTATCATAAACACATTTTTTAATCTAATTTTTTATATTTTTTTATCTCATATACATCACATCATAAAAAGTGATACAGTAATTATTTCAAATAATACGCTATCCAAACAAACCAAATTAATTATATATATATACTACAAATAAAGCGTAAAAAGTAGAGCTTGTAAACAGGAAGAGGAGCTTGTAAGTTGGTGGCGTCGCCTGCATATTGCATAATGCATTTTCCTGTTTCTTCTTTCTCCCATGATTGCCGCCGAAAAAGACTGCTTCAACAAAGAAAGAAGAAGTCGAGACGTTTGGATTTTGGAAGAAGAGAATGTACAATAGTGTGTATTAGTAGTGTTATAATATTACGGTGCTGACTGACCGCTGAGAGACTGTTTGCAGTTTGTGCTGCAGGTGTCCGGAGTTGGGAGGACAAATCTAATCTACCATTACGCATTTGTTTATTATTTATTTACTGAGAGAATTTTAGCAGATTTCCATGTGTCAAACCTCAAAAGCCATTACGCGTTCTCAAAAAAGAAAAAAAAAAGTTTCCAAGCTTGACTTTGGACCATTCCTATACTACTTTTCAACTCTTTATGTCCCTATCTTTTTGGTTTTTTTTGTTTTGGATCTTATTAAAATTACATTTATATCCTTGCTAGATTTGGTTAACTTTAGTTATAATAATAACTAACAGAATTGAGAACCATTCTGTTACGCTTTGTGCATTCCGTCAAAAATTGAACAACGGTGGGACGAATTTTGTAGTTTAAGGATTTAAGTGTCCCATTTTGAAGTTTAGGAACTTAAGTGAGATTTCAGATATAGTTTGAAGGGACAGAGTGGAATTAACCCTTAAGAATCCCTGCAAAAGTTTGTTGATAGCGTTACATAATTCACCAACCTAAAAAAGTTCAACTGTATTTTATGTGTACTAGTAATCTAATTTTAGATAACTAGAAAGTAGTATTTTGATTTTGACTCAGTCCAGAAACGACTTACTGGTAGATTCTTTGGAATAATAAAACACAAACGAGTGTGTCCAATGGTGCATGTATCTGTCAAATCAAACCCCAGCGAACGCTTCCTGAAAGAAGTCCAGATTATGATCATAACAATTAATTAATTGATTGCACATGCCCCTCGGGTCAGCTCAGCCGGTGAACCCATGGGGTATTCCTCGTGATGGCACAGGTTCGAGTCTGGTTTCACATGTCGCCTGGATCCTCTTGGGAGCGGGGTACACAGGTGCAGAGGGATTAGTCGGATCCTTACGAATTGACCCGGACACCCTCTATGTTGACAAAAAAAAAAAAATTGTACATCGATCATTGGTTAGGATGTTAGGATAGCTACCATAATTTTTAGACGCCATAAATTTACACCACGCTCGCTATCAACATAAATTTATACCCCCAAATTAGTTGTATATGTTGCCATGTGTGAACAAAATACACGTACCAAATGACGTCTTGTAGCTAGTGAACTGAGATTTTTTTTTTTAAAGTTGGTTTCCTTCCTGATTTGCCACGTATCTAGGTAGACTGGTAGAGCACCCAGATTGATGAATGATTTAGACATATACGTATTCTTCTTATGTTTAGTTGAGGCTTTGCGTCGTCTAGAAGAGACGTTGCCGTCCCGTGCAATTTATGCATGTCAATGAACTTTACTTTCCTCTGAGGGAAAAATGAACTTACAAGGAAAAGCTGCAGCCCCGATTATTAAAGGAGTTCTTGTTGATTGGCTAAAATCAAAATGGGATGAGACTTTCAATTTGAAGGCCACGACAACTGAAGTCAAGTCAAGGCCATGCATGATGCTGATGCATCCCCGTATCTGACTGTCTTCGCTGATTCGTTTTGTACGCAATTAATTTTCTCTCCAGAGGTCAGTAATATTAACGCTCTCATTTATATATTCTAGATAGAAAAGTATAATTAATCTTTTCTACTATTTATTGATAATTAATGTGGTGTTCATTAGGCACCCAAGTCTTTTAAATACTACTTTTTTTATGGTGTTAGGTTAACAAATTACACGGCAGCTGCTTTAGTTAACACTAGCTATGCATACTCGACGTGTGTGTAACTTATAAAAAAAATATTTTTAATTAAAAGAAATATAAAAATAGTGCAAGTGAATATAACTATTTTATGTAATATGTAATAAAAAATTATTATAGAAAAAAATGTGTACAATTGGGAGTAGAAAAACCTGTTACTAAGGCAGAGCGTGAAAATTAAAGGGAGGTAATTTTGATTGGGTATGATTTGTGTGTCAGTTGATAATAGAAATAAGGATTAATAGATAAGGGAGAACGTAAAAATTCCGTTACTAAGGGAGAATGAGAAAATTAAAGGGAAGTACTTTTGATTGGGTAGGATTTGTGTGTCAGTTGATAATAGAAATACTCAAGATTAATGGATAATAGAGATAAAAGTTAATAGATTACAGAGAGATGAGGATAAATTTGAAAACAAACAAAGTTAACACTGACACGGATTTTATTATTGTAGAGATATAAATTATTTAAATTGAAGAAGGTTGTGATTAGCCGTGGTTTTATTTTACGACCACTTGAAGTTAAAGCTAACCACGTTTTCAAGACATTCAACACTAATTATTAACATGATCTTGAGCAAACTTATATTTTACGGTGAAAATTTTAAATATCTTCTTTATGTAACAAATTATTAGTTTTTGGCTAAAGTTGAAGCCTCTATCGTTTAATTTAGAGATCCTTGGTTCCGATTCCCCTCCCCCCTCCTCATTTCTTTAATCTCATCCATCCCTTGTTAAAAAAATTAAAAGAAAATTCAGTTTTTGAGTTTAAATAGCACTATCCGCTTAGATTGTGTTTGAATCGAAAGTTATTTTTTATATTATGTTATAAACGCATTTTCAATCATTTTTTATTTTTAAATTATTTTTTTACTCCATATACATTATTATCACAAGAAATATTATGAATTATTTTAAACAAACATTTCAAATAAAAAAAAAAGAAGTAGAGTGGTAAAGTTTATTCATGATTTTCAGCCCAAGAAAAAAAAAGTAGTTTATTCATGGTGGGTGGCTAGTGACACTTTGACACGTCTCCTCCTCCGTCCCCCGCAAAATGGCAAATGTCTTCCATTTCCCAACTTTAATGGCAATTAAATCAACAAAAACGCTAAAGTCTAAAAAATTACTACCCTATTAGCTCCTCCTCCACCCGTTTCCTTGCCAACTGTTACTAGTCTATAGTGCTAGTAATAAATGAAATGAAAAAGCCAAGAGTCAATCATATGAATGATTTCGTTTCCCACCATCCTTGATTGCCTCAGCAGCCGGCCACCTTCCGCTGCTGGGGTGGACTTTCGTCTTCGCACCTCCGACGACTTTTTTTTCTTTTTCTTTTTTCCAAAAAATAAAAAATAAAAAATAGGATGATATTACTCCTAGTTGGAACGAAATCAGAAAAAGCGAGTTACTCTACAGTGGATTCGTTCAACCAACAAAATTCAACTTCTCCTCCCAGTCCCAGGTTTGATTTTATTATTTCCCCTTCAAACTCTCTCTCTCTCTCTCTAGAAGCCCAGCTCCACCTCACCTGCTCTCGCTTTCTTTTCCTACGTAACGAGGAAAAAAAAAAATAAAAATACATTTGCATATTCGAACAAGCCAACACGTATGCCATATTGTTTCTTTTTTAGCATGGACAACCACATATAAATTATCTTGTTGATTCAGCTAACCCAATTATTGCTCTGCTTTCCTTTTTCGTGATCAACAACAATTTTTTTTTTTTCGGAGGAGGATTATTTTTTGTCACTTCTCTCCGAAATAGAGTATTTCAAATGGGATTTTTGTTTTCTTCTACTAGTAGTAGCTGTAGAAGTGATAGAATCATGGTTTTTGTAGATGGTAAAGTTTTGGTTTTTATGGGTTTCATTATGCTAATCTCGGGCATACACAGCTCTGAAGCTAGTGGTTCTGCTTCTGGGACCTTCGGGTTTGATATCCATCACAGATACTCTAACCCGGTTAGGAGTATTTTCGACTTTGATGGCTTGCCGGAAAAACATTCTTTCGACTACTACGCCGCCATGGCCCACCGTGATCGCTACAACCGGGGTCGCTACCTCGCCGGCACCACCACCCCTGTCACCTTCGTCGCTGGCAATGACACCCTCCGCCTTA